CTAAAGAGAATAGAGTGGATGTTACAAACACTTTGAGTGATTATGTATGTATGTATCCAAAAAAATATTTATAGCAAGGAGGAGCAGAAAGTAGAGGAAAAAACAGATGTATGAGGGAAATAAAAAGCCAAGTCTGTAATAAAAGAAGGAAAACAACAAGTTCTCAAAAATGGGCTATATTGTTGTGACCTAGACCTGCCCTTACCACTCAACCTTTCTGGTCTTTTTCTTCTTCTTCTTCTTCTTCTTCTTCTTCTTCTTCTTCTTCTTTCAAAAAGATACATGAATTAGAGAAAGTTTCTCAGTCCTATTCGGAAACCAGAAGACCTTGCTTCCTGCCCTTAGCATGGTCGCTCCTTCTGCCAGAGCCCAGTTTCCTTGGAGCACTTTCTCTATGATTCTGTGCAGGCTAAGTAGGGCATAGCAGAAAGTTAAAAGTACTCAAGACTATCAGCCTAAGGTTTACCCTTTTCTGTGAGTAAACCAGATAATGTTTTACTACAATTACCTCCATAATTCATGGCCCATTGCCCATATCAAAACGATAGGCTTGCTGTTGTTAATGCTATGGGATTGGTTTTAACCATTTGTGAGATTGTTAAAAGTATTTTTAACTTGTACAAAGGCCACACAGTTTTGACCTGTAGGAAGCTGGACAAAGAAAGAGCAACAGAGTGCCAGCCCTTACAGTTACGTATCTTGGGCAGATGCCAGGCAAAACTGAGTCACATAGATTGCATTCAGCATCGGATCACCATTCTTCTCAATGTTGCTCTTAGCGCTCCACCCCACAGTCCTCAGGGTATCTTCTGGTTGTTAAAACTCCATCTTCCCTGTTTTCTCTGCTAGGAACCTGGTCTTATCTAACCAAACTGGCCCCAGTTTCTCACCCCAATAGCTACCCGGGCAGATATTTCTGTAACAAAGGCTAGTGTTTACAGTGGTGATGTGTTGAACTGTGGCTTGTCTGCATCATTGCTATTTTGGGTTACAGGCTTTTGTGAGTACTTTTAGCATCTTGCTCTTTGATCTTTCTGATTCTTGGCTTTGTTTTAAAGGATGTCTTAGCTTTAAATCCCCCCAAAGAGAGCCTGGGACAAAGGCTTGTTTGTACGTAGTTATTTAAGAAAGAGAGAGACAAAACAGAAAGTGGGAAAGAAGGGAAAAAAAGCCAGAAAAAAAAAGCCAGTACAAGAATCTGCTACCTATTTATCCACTGCAGGTGGCTGGCGCTTGATCCAATGTGACTTTAAGTGGAGACATACGACATATGCCTCAGAGCTGTCCAACCAGGGGACAAAGGAGAAAGCATATATCCATCAGTTCCTGGCCCACTGGTCAAGGATGAGGTCATCAGTATTACTCCCCAAGCTTCCTTGTTTGCCTGCCTGAGCACCCAGAAAATCCCTGCAGCAGAAGAGAAGCCCATGGCAGAAGCAGCACTCTGCAATGAGTCTGTGCAAGGTGCTATCAGGATGCAGTTTTGTGAAACTAAGTAAAGGTTCAGTGAGCTGGTTTTGTAATAGAGGCTGGAGGAAGGGGTGGGACAAATAGAATCTGAAATAGTATATAAGAAGTGTTAGATATACTGGAAAGGCCAGTTCTGAAATTCCTAGCCTCCAAGGCTGTCTCCTCTCAAGATGTACAACATGAGGCTGGATAAAGTACTTTCCTTAAGGAGGGTTAACCAAATAACAAAGTCAGACATTTTTCTCCCTCTTGGCTTTATTACAAGAGAGCCCTAATGAATGGGCCTCTTTGGCCATGAGTTATTCTCAGATGCAAGCATGTTCTAAAGTGTTCCAACTTTTCATTAAAATGAATAAGGATAAAAGCAGTACATAATCTATAAGAAAATCTAAATATCAGGAAGGGTCACAGAGTAAAACATTCTGGTTTCTTTCACTTCTTATGGATTTGTCAAAGGAAGCCATGTTCTGTGAAACATTTCAAGAAAAGCAAAGAACTGCTTTGAAATAAATCAGGGTATTTAAGTGGGTGAACAGAGAATTCAGAAGTCTAATTCCATGGAATGTTGGTATCTAAAAAGCAGGAAGTTAGGATTCCTTAGTATCCCATCAAGCCATACAATGCCAGCTTTCCTGCATCTTTGGTTTTGCATGGTTTGCTCATAGTTTCCTCTTAACCCTTCCAATCCAACTCAAATTCCATCTTTCCTTCAAGATGGTGCCCCAAGCCCTTTCTCCTACATCAACCTGTCCCTGAATCTGTGGGCCCATGTGAACCTTTACTTTTCTTTACCTTTGCTAAAAGCAAACTATAGCTTGCCAGTATTTCCAAACTGCTGCTTCACAGACTGAGCAGATAGAATATTTAACCACATACCTCAGTTTGCTTCACTTCTCTTTCACTGATGGAATTCATGGCCCAGTTCTTCTCTTCTCTACTTCATTACCTGATATATATATTTATATGAAGTATTACATACATTGGAAAACATGAGTCTACCTTTTAAAAATGGAGCATTCATTTATTTAGTCATTCACACACACAAAAAAAATGTATTAAAACACTTACTCCAAAGTAGGTACTTGGGCTGGGAGCCATATGCATAAAACTAATACGGTTTCTGCTTCACAGAGCTTATGTGGGGCAAGGGATAGGGTAAAAACTGGCATGCAATTTGATTTTTAAAAAACGTAAAAATTGAAAGCTGAATAATGTGCTAAGAATGAAATAAGGAGTTGAGCTGGAGAATAACACAGATGGACTTTAAACCCAGTGTTCAAGGAAGTGTTCTCTGGGAAGGGGATACTTAAGCTAAGTCCTAAATGATGGAAAGGACCTAGCTCCAAGGAAGGTTGGGAGGAGAATATTTTAAGAAGAGGGTTACAGCATGGAAAAAGTCCTTGAGCCAAGTGGACTATAGAGAACAGTGTCCAAGAGGAGACTGGAGGGATGGGCAGGGCTGCCTCATTCTGGACCTTGTAGCATAATGAGCATTGTGGGTTTTTTTTCTAATGTGTAATGAAAATTCCTCGAAGGATCTTATGTAAAAGAATGGCATAATTGAATTTGCTTTAAAATGACTAGTTTGCCATATGGAGATTAATTTGGAGATGGGGTTGAAGGGACTAGTTTAAAAGAGGTTGTTCTGGCCTAAGATGATTGGTGACCTCCACTAAGAAAGAAAAGAATAGATTCAAGATGTATTTTAAATTTTTTTTTCAACGTTTATTTATTTTTGGGGGACAGAGAGAAACAGAGCATGAACGGAGGAGGGGCAGAGAGAGAGGGAGACACAGAATCGGAAACAGGCTCCAGGCTCTGAGCCATCAGCCCAGAGCCCGACGCGGGGCTCGAACTCACGGACCGCGAGATCGTGACCTGGCTGAAGTCGGACGCTTAACCGACTGCGCCACCCAGGCGCCCCTCAAGATGTATTTTAGAGACGAGATTGTCATGTACGGAACAAGAATAAGGAAAAATACATTTCCTAATATGTATTACCTTGGATAAATTAAATAAATTTTTTGGTATGCTTGCTTTCTCTCATACACCAAATTACTAACTCTTCAAGATAGGATCAATTTTTTATATGTACTCTATATTTTCCTTAAATTTCTGAGAACAAGATAGATGTTTAATAAATACTTGTTTTCTTGTCCAGTGTTTATTAACTAAACCACAGGATATTTCATCAAAATTATATTAGATGGCAGAATAAAATACTGTGAATACTTTCAAGTCTTTCCAATGCTGTTTTTATTACTCTGTTACTTGGTGGATAGATGCTAAAAAACAGAATGTTGACTTTTGTGGGTGTTTCATAAAAATGAGAAATCTCTCTGCTTGATTTAGCATTGATTCTGCCAAACTATTCAGTGTGGTTTCCAACAGAACACAAACTTGGCACCTAAAATAGGGCACTGTGTGCCCTTGCATTTGGAGCTGATCAAAGCATTCGTAACCCGTGTAGACTCTGGACAACTTTAGAAAACAAAGTCAAAATCTTCACAAGATAGTCCCAAGCAAAGGGGACACACCAGCCCTCTTGTAGCAAAAACACTTTCTCCAGGCAAGTTCTGAAGAGGAAACTACCATCTGCACACTTCCCTTTCACACGCTTTCCCTTGTAGTGATATCCTTTTCTCCACCAAGTACCAAAATTTACTCTCAGGGAAAAGACCAATAAGTGTATTTACATAATGGCATATGAAATTCTTGAGGGGGTTGTATTTCCCAGGAATATCTGGTGCCAAAAGTATTTCCATAGATTTCATTTTAGATATGGAGGGGCTAAAGGGACAGTGATTTTCATAAAGAAATCCTACCCGAAGGTCAAATGGTGATTCTTCCTACTGCCCTGACTGACATGAGGTCTGCGGAGGATGTGAAAACAAAACTCTAGAGTGGGTCTGGCTGAGGACAAATTGGGAGGATCCTGGCAGCCCATATATCTAGGAACTTTCCTTTAAATTCAGAGGTCCCTGATTCTCTCTTTGGCATCCCTCAATCTGCAGCTTTTAAAGAATTCCAGAAAAATTATATTGCCTTAAGCCATGGAAGGCCTCCACAACCTCTTGTTGGACCTGGAAGACCTAGTTGCAGAAGGGAGGTTTGTCTCTCTTGTGTTTGCTAAGGTTTGTCATTTATGCCATCTAACATTTGAAGAGAATAATCAAATGTTTGGAAGTTTCAGATAACTGTCAGCATAGTGTTTGGGATTAAAGGCTAAGTTGGGGGGGGCGCCTGGGTGGCTCAGTTGGTTAAGCGTCCGACTTCAGCTCAGGTCATGATCTCACAGTTTGTGGGTTTGAGCCCCGCATAGGGCTCTGGGCCGACAGCTCAGAGCCTGGATCCTGCTTCGGATTCTGTCTCCCACTCTCTCTGCTCCTCCCTTGATCATGCTCTGCCTCTCTCTGTCTCTCAAAAATAAATAAAAGTTAAAAATTAAATAAATAAATAATAAATAAATAAATAAATAAATAAAGGCTAAGTTTGGGAAACAAGGTCCTCACGTTTATTAATTGTTCCACAAGAGCACAAGTCTGTCTACTGGACCCAGGTTGGACTGCATGATTCTCTTTTTGAGTAGCATACTATTGCTATGTCCTGTGGCTTGCTGATTCTGGTTCTGACCCTGACTCTTGACTTAGAAAATTTTATGTTATGTTCTTGACCTTTATGGGACAGAGTGCAAGACTCTAGCTTCATACCTTTGTCCACCTCTTACATACTGACAAACCTTCATATATGAACAGGGATCAACTATCACAAACCCTTCGTATACTCCCAAATTCCTGAACCCTTAGTAGTCCTCGATACTATGTATAGTTTAATGACATGGAAGTCTTACCTCTTAAAACTCTTTGTAAAGTTCTAGATCATATGAAATTTCCCTCTATGATGAGGATGTTCAACCTCCATGTAGACCCATTCATACTAGCTTTAACCTCTGAACCATATGAGCAGATCCTTTCTCTTAGGAGAATCTTTCAAAAATTTGGAGTCATCCATATTTCAGCCAAATATTTGGAGTCAGTCTTCAATTATTCACCTTCTTTAGATTATTAGCTCCAATTAATTCAACCATTTCTGATAATAAAAGTTTTAAGACTTTTTACTGTCCCGTGTGCTATCCCAATCACTATAGCTTTTCAAACATTTCTTCCAATGATTGATGCACAGAGCAGAATACCGTAACTCAGGATTCACCCTAAGGCACATGGAAATGATAAGTCTTCCTTGTCCTTCATACTACATCCTATTCAGATTAAGGTGACCCTTTCTTAATGTTCTGATCACTTCTCAGATGTTGGTATTTATTTGCCATAATTCCAATCAAAAACTCTAAATAGCCTTCAGTGTGTGCCTGCCATGCTCTTAAAATATTATTTGTTTCATTTTATTTATTCTTATTTGACCAACATTCCTTCTTTATATTCACTTGTTTCCTTAAAAATTTTTTTGATATTTTCTAAATGCCAGTCACTCTGCTATTTAGTGGGGAGACAATGGTGGCCTACATATCATGCCTCACCTTGTTCACAGTTTATAATCTAAGGGCAACTAAAAGAAGTAACTAATCAATTACAAATTACTATAATGAATTCTCTAAGGGGGTGACTAAGGGTGTTACTGGTATATAAATGAGGTAGCATAGGGAGGTGTTTCTGGAATAGGTGGCACCTGAGTTAAGGAGTTGAAGTGGGTACAAAACAGGAAAGGAGGATTAGTTCAAACATAGAACCTTCTTATCTAAAGAGCCAGGCATGAGGCTGAGCATGGTGTTTTCTCAAACTGATTATAAGAATAGGTAGAGCTTATGCAGGATCTGAGAGGCAGATATTAATGAGAGATGACTCTAGAAATATAAGTAGATTCTAGATTCTGAAAGACTTGGCACTGTAACTTGAAAGAAATTGGTAGCCATTGAAGGATCTGATGGAAAGGAGTGACACATCATTCTTGTATTTTACAAAAATTACTTTTCCTGTTGTGTTAAAAAGAAACCACTCAAATCAGGGAAATAAGATGGGAAATTATGGCAGCTATCCAGGTGCAAGATCATGATGGCTTAAATTAAGAAATTGGTAGAGGGTTTAATTGAAAGGCCTAAGACATATAAGGACATATGTTATGAGGACACATCTATTATATTAGATGTTTGGCTGATAGAATTGGTAGGATTCAGCACTCATGTCTTGGTGGATTAACTAAAGTCCAGGAAAGTGAAGAATAATAACTAACTTTCTGTTTTGGAAAAGTATATTGGTTGTATCACTCACTGAAGGAAGACTGAGATTTGGAATGCAATAAGAATAAGGGATTCATTTTAGACATATTGGATTTGAATTCCTATTGGGTCATTCAAAAGTGGATGGTCAGTAAGCAGATACACATAAATTAACTACCTGGGATTTAAAAAAATAGATCTGTGAGTCATTACTATATATGCACTGCTTGAAATAAAAGACTGGAGAATTGTAGAATGAGATGAAAAGCAAGCTCTGGGTAGAATGCAGATGAAGGGAAAAATGGGAACCCCAAAAGGAAGATGAAAAGTATGGGCATAAAGATGGTATTTAAAAAAAAAGAAGAAATAGCGGGTTGTGTTACCATGGAAACCAAAGAAAGAGAATGTCTTAAAGGAAGCAAGGGGTCAAGATTGCCAAATGTTGCTGAGCACTTGTGTCCATTAGATTTAAAACTAGGGAATTTGTTAGACATCATGATGAGTGTAGTCTTAAATGATAAGGGGAAATAGCTGCTTGTAGATAAAGGAGACTGAGAGGAAACAGAATAAAAAAAGGTGCCTGCAAAAGCAGGAATTCTCTCTTGGATGCTTCTGAAAAAGGTAATGTAGATTTTGCTCGTGTCATTCTAGTGAATATATTGTTACCATTTCCATTTTTTGGACAGTTTTTGTTTTGTGTTATTTTTAACTTTAGAAAAGTTTTATCCTGGTGCAAAGTGGTAGTTACATAGGGTGAATAAGTCTAGAGATGTCACATACAGTGTGATGACCACAGTCAATACTGTGTTGAATACTGGAAGTTGGCCAGGAGAGTAGATTTCAGGTGATCTCACCACACACATGGAAGAGAACTAGGTGAGGAGATGGATATGTTAATTGGCTTGACTGTAGCAATTATTTCACTATGTATACGTACATCAAGTCATCAGGCTGTATGCCTTAAAATACATATAATTTTTAAAAATAAAGGATAAAAAGATAACAACAAAATATTACTTAGGGGACCAAAACATTCCCCGTGGACAGTTTTAATTGTTAAAAAAAATAATGTTTTATGCATAGAAAACTCTGTCTCTATTCATTTATTCATTCCACCAATAATCACAAATGCTGACTAAGTATTACAGACACTGGGCTAAGCACTGGAAATAGAAGAATAACACATAGTCCTAGACTTCCAAGAGATGATAGTATATATAGAAAAGACTAATGCCCTCTTTAGCACTTTTTTTTGCCTTCTGATTCCTCACCAAATAAAGTTAATTCACTCTAAAAATGGTAGCTCTTCAATATTTGAAGATACTTATTATACTTCCATCTGATTCTTCTGGCAACCATGAAAAATTTTAAGGTATGCAATGTGGAAAACAAATCTTTCATTAGCTAGGTAAGTCTTTTGTATAGTAAGCTCCTAAAATGTGACAAGGGTGGAAAACAATATTCCTAATTGTAATATGCTAAGAACAGAATAGTTAATCTAGACCCATAGATAACATTAAAATGATCTAGACCCATGGATCATATTAAACAATATTCCTAATTATAATATGCTAAGGACAGAATAGTTAATCTAGACCCATAGATCACATTAAAATTATCTAGACCTATGGATCATATTGAAATGGATAAGCTTTTTTGGGCAACTGAATCTCGATGCTGAGAAATAATGAGATTTCAGTCAGTCACCTATCTTTGGATTTTATATACAAACGCTTAAACCAATAGTCTCCAATCCTGGTCACATGCAGTTGATATTTGCAATGAAAATAGATAACTTCCCACTTATTTATTTTATATTTCATCTCTGTTTGTTGATTATTTTTATTCTTTTAAGTAGGCTTCATGCCCCTCATGGAGCCAAATGCAGGCTTTGAACTCACAGTCTTGAGATTAAAAACTGAGCTGAGATTAAAAGTCCAACACTTAACTGGCTGAGCCACTCAGGCACCCCTGCTTTTAATCCAGTTCATATCATCATTCCAAACTGTGTTAATCTCTAGACATTCATTCTATTATTGAATGTCTTGCCAATCAGTCTTTTCTTTTAAAATTTTAACTTATTTTGATATTCATTAAAATTATCTACGAAGACATCAACTAGCACAGGACCAAACATAAATTTGAGAACTATCTGGCTTGATGTCAATCAATAGATAATTTAATGTTCTTTGGTTTGTGGATTTTTTTTTTTCCTGGAGGGGAGGCAGGTGGTTGGAGTGAGGGTGGCTAACTATCCAGAAAACAGTCTTACAGAATTCACCTAATTTGCATTTTTCACCACTCATTCTAAAGACTATCATGAGAGACTTTTGAGGTTCCTGACAAAAATTCCAGAAAGCCTGAGATTTAGAAGGGCTATGTTAGCCCCAGGGAAAGAATCCACCATTTTTTAAATCAAAGGTTAACCTAGTGGTATAAGAAGGTCAGTGGGTCATAGATCTCCTGTTACCTTAACCAAAAAACCCAAAACCAAAACGAAAAGAAACAAAAACACAAAACCCCAACGCCATCGCAAAACAAAATATAAACAATTTTCTCCAGACACATCAAGGCTTGTCCTACGTAAATAGTGATTTTCCTGTCTTTGCTTTGAGATTTTAAATGTCAGCCAACAATCTTCTTGGCTTCTTTTTCTGGCCCCAACTCCTCTTGGCCATTTCTAAAACCTCATGGAGACTGTTTGCTTCTCCATACTACATATAATTAAGAGTTCAATGTAGCCAAAAATTAACAAAGTTCCCATATAATATTCTGATTACATTTTATAAATTCTAAGCCATAATCTACTTTTACATTTTAGTCTTACCCTACAACAGATAAATATTGCTCATCTTGGTATCTAAGTTAATTTTAAATAACTTATGGTAAAATTCTTTTAAAATTACAGTTTTGTTTTTATTAAGGAAGTAAACATATTCAATATTGCAGAACATGTGGAAAATAGAGAAAATGTAAAGATAAAAATAACGTAGTTGGTAACATTTTGGCAAAATATCTAACATTTCAAATACTATATGGATCCCATATTACAAACTCACTTTTTTCACTTGGGCATTTATTTTGAATCTTTTTTCACAGTTGCTTTAATTTTCTCCCACAGAATGATACTGAGGATAAAGAATTTAGTCATATAGATGTACTAAAATATATTTAATCCATGTCCTTATTTATCAACCTTTATTTTCACTATCTTTAAAAATTACATAATAAATGTGTGAATTTCTGATTATTTAATAATACATATGTATTGAATTAGACACTAGGTCAAAGAACTCTACATTTTTTAATGTTTTT